TTTTCTCATTGTTATTGTGATGCACATTAAAATTGTATGAATCTTGCATGTGGACACGTACAATTCGAATATTTTTTTGTAATGAATCTTGGATATCAATGAAAGAAGATGTCTTTTTATTATACATATATATTCCAAATGAGTTTAATATAAATCAAAAAACACATTAACAAGCTTATGAGTGATGATAAATTCATTCTGACAGTCTTACTTAGGTACGGTCACGATTATATTTCATACTGCAGAAAGTGAATATAGTAATACTTGTCTAATACTACTTCGAAATAAAATGCAACTTTCATTATCACATATGGCATCAGCATCTAGAAACAAAACTATTTTCATTCAAATAATAACTGTTCTATCGAAATAGCAAAAAACCAAAGGTTAATTTTATTTTAAAAATTGATTTGAATTAGAATTGGAACTGTGTAGCAGTATATGATACGAGTCAAATTCATAACTGCAAGTAGACAATTTTTAAAATATTCTAATACCAAATCGATAAAACTTTGCACTAGTTTTTTTATTAAATTAGCATGAAAACTGAGGTAAAACTTGCTTGTTTGCTATATTTATATGAAAAGTACATTTTGCACTGTTTCATTTCTATATATATTTAGAGAAAGTATATAAATATATAGATAAATTTTTTTCTGAATATAATGAATATTTTGTTTATATAAAGGAAATTATCTGTCTTTCTAACGAGCACTTTTAAACCATAGTTATATGAAATTATGAAAATAATGACATTATAAATGTAACTAATATCATGATAAATATGAATCAAATGTAATTAATAAAAACCTAAAACAATTTAAACAATATGAAAACATTTATCATTATGTAACAATACATAGTAACATTGTAATACACTGTAAAAATTAACTGGATAATTGTAATCACATAGTAATTCATTTCCAAGTAAGATTTCTTTTTCTTTGTTCTGTCCTTTCCATCAACAGTTAAATATTTGAAAATCGTGATTAGAAAGATCAAAAATTTCTTTTATATTAACAAAATATTTATTATACTCAGAAAAAACTCATCTCTCAATACATATGGACGTAAAAATCTCAAAATATCTATATATTTTAGTTCTTTCATAGAATTCATAATACATACTTCAATACTTAATTATATTCTAGCTATATACTGCTTGTTTACTTGAACAACTCGTGAATGATGAACAGTATGTTGGAGGGCAAGCAGAAACTGTTGTTCTATGGTTGCTTGTAACAATATTGAATTTATTCTTCATTGTCTTTTGCTCACATTATCACAAAGCAAGTCTTATGCATAATAAAAAATAAATAAAACTGACAATGTCTTTATTTGTTTTGAGATAATGAAAGACAAATAAAAACTGAATGAGATAAAATATCCAACGCACTGACTTTCAAGTGATTATTATACAGATGATAAGCAAACAAAAGTTTGCAAGAATAAACATAAAATAAATGATGTTACTGAGTTTTTTCCTCTATCTTTTGTTGCTGACAACGATACTTTTGACTACACCCAGGTGAAGTTTGACCTTGAGTTTCAAAGTGTGCGGGTGTGAGTGTAGCTTATTCTTCTTCAATCACTCACACCATCCACACCCTACGTTGTTAGTCTTCTCCAACATAAGATCGCATTCGCCTGCGAATTTACGACGATAACATCCCCGGTTTCTAACATTGCATTGTTCTTCTTGTTATCATTTCATTTACTGGTTCTGAGTTTCTTCTTATCTTGCATTGTAAACCTCGTTTCATAAGGACAACGAAAGTCCGTGTACAAAAGCAAATAAAAGTTGGGGGGAATAATCATAAGATAAATGATACTGTTGGATTTTTTCCTTTCCTTTTTTCATTGACAAAAATATTTTCTTAAAATAAAATAGGCAGGGTTTATCTTCAATGATAAAAAATACCCACATTTGACGTCACAGGAATATTTAGAAAGAATAACAGCTAACACCAAATATATAGATAGAAAAGGTAATCTTTGTAGAAACCACAATCTAGTATTTACGATACTCAATCATCAATCCAACGCCAAGTTATATTACATATGGATGGAAAAAACTCCAAAGAAGCTAATGCCCATTCAACAACAGATGCTACTGCAAGTACAACAGCTTCATCGGTAGCCATGATGCGAAGAGAGCGCATGGCCGAAAACTATTTGGTCATCTGGGTCGATGAAACCATTGATCCAAACAATGAACATTGTCAACAGATACTCGCGGAATTACGTGGTGTTGTCAACCAAATCAATCTATGCACCACAACGGTACAATGTGTTCAATGGCTCAATGAAAGCAATGAGGAGACCTCATTTCTTATCTCCTCTGGTGCATTTGGACAAAAGCTCGTACCAGACATTCATGAAATGCCAAAACTTGATGCTATTTACATTTTTTGCACCAACACAGAGCATCATGAACAATGGGCCAAGAATTGGACGAAAATTAAAGGTGTGCATACTTCAATCAAGCCCATCTGTGATGCACTGAAAATAGCTGTCAAGCAATACAACCAAAACAACATGTCAGTAAGCATTATTGGTGCAAATGAAGAAGGCTCTACTGAAAATCTCAATCAGCTAGAACCTACCTTCATGTATTCACAAATATTTAAGGAGATTCTCCTTGATATAAAACATGTCCAAGAGGCCACCAAAGATTTGGTCAAGTTTTGCCAAGACAAATATCATGGCAATGTTAAAGAAACAAAAATTATTGAAGAATTCGAACATACCTATCAACCATCCAACGCGATTTGGTGGTATACACGTGAGTGCTTCACGTACAAAATGCTCAATCGAGCATTGCGAACATTAGACGGTGACATTATTATTCGCATGGGATTTTTTCTATGCGATGTTCATCGACAAATCGAAATATTGCACAAGACGCAGGTCAGTCAATATCATGAAAGTCCCTTCACAGTCTTCAGAGGGCAAGGTCTCTCAATAGCAAACTTTGACAACTAATTAAAAAACAAAAATGGACTTATTTCTTTCAATAACTTTTTATCCACCAGTACAGATCGTGATCTCTCCCTCTTTATAGCCGAAGCTAACTTAGGAGCAACCGATATGGTTGCTATTCTTTTTCAAATCATCATCGATCCCACAGTCTCATCAACTCCATTTGCCTCCATTCGGGAGGTAAGCTATTTCAAGGCAGCAGAAGAAATCCTCTTTTCCATGCATACCGTGTTTCGAATTGGTGAAATTCGAAAAATTGACAACAATCGTGCACTTTATCAGGTGGGCCTTAAACTTACGTCGAATGATGACCCACAACTTCGTGAATTAACTGATTTTATACGAAAAGAGGTCGACGGCACCCGAGGGGATCAAATCGGTAAATTGCTCCTCAAAATAGGTCAAATCAACAAGGCCGAAGAACTGTATATGACACTACTAGAGCAGGCATTGGATGATAGTGACAGAGCGCATGACTATCATCAACTTGGGAGCGTCAAACGACGACAAGGACAATACGAAGCAGCAGTTGCATCTTACGAACAATCTCTAAAAATCGAGCGAAAAACTCTTTCGAAAGATCATCCTTCATTGGCTACTTCGTACAACGACATCGGCCTAGTGTACAGCGACATGGGTGACTACTCGAAAGCACTTGAATTTTACGAAAACTCACTTAAAATAAAAGAAAAAGCTCTGCCTTCGAATCATCCATCATTGGCTACTTCGTACAACAACATCGGTTTAGTGTACAGAGACATGGGTGACTACTCCAAAGCACTTCAATTTTACGAAAAAGACCTAGAAATCACAAAAAAAGCTCTGCCTTCGAATCATCCCTCATTGGCTACTTCGTACAACAACATCGGTTTAGTGTACATCGACATGGGTGACTACTCGAAAGCACTTGAATTTTACGAAAAAGCCCTAGAAATCACAAAAAAAGCTCTGCCTTCGAATCATCCCGATTTGGCTACTTCGTACAACAACATCGGTTTAGTGTACAGCGACATTGGTGACTACTCGAAAGCACTTAACTTTTACGAAAACTCACTTAAAATAAGAGAAAAAGCTCTGCCTTCGAATCATCCTGATTTGGCTACTTCGTACAACAACATCGGTTTCGTGTATAGGAACATCGGTGACTACTCGAAAGCACTTGAATTTTACGAAAAAGACCTAGAAATCACAAAAAAAGCTCTACCTTCGAATCATCCCGATTTGGCTACTTCGTACCACAACATCGGTTTAGTGTACCGCGACACTGGTGACTACTCGAAAGCACTTGAACTTTACGAAAAATCGCTTAAAATAAGAGAAAAAGCTCTGCCCTCGAATCATCCCTCATTGGCTACTTCGTACAACAACATCGGTTTAGTGTATAAGAAAATGGGTGACTACTCGAAAGCACTTGAATTTTACGAAAAAGACCTAGAAATCACAAAAAAAGCTCTGCCTTCGAATCATCCGTCATTGGCTCTTTCGTACAACAACATCGGTTTAGTGTACAGCGACATGGGTGACTGCTCGAAAGCACTTGAATTTTACGAAAAATCACTTAAAATAACAGAAAAAGCTTTGCCTTCGAATCATCCCTCATGGGCTACGTCGTACAACAACATCGGTGAAGTGTACAGCGACATGGGTGACTACTCGAAAGCACTTGAATTTTACGAAAAATCACTTAAAATAAGAGAAAAAGCTCTGCCTTCGAATTATCCTGATTTGGCTGTTTTGTACAACAACATCGGTTTAGTGTACAGCGACATGGGTGACTACTCGAAAGCACTTGAATTTTACGAAAAAGACCTAGAAATCACAAAAAAAGCTCTGGCTTCGAATCATCCCGATTTGGCTACTTCGTACAACAACATCGGTTTAGTGTACAGCGACATGGGTGACTACTCGAAAGCACTTGAATTTTACGAAAAATCACTTAAAATAAGAGAAAATCTCTGCCTTCGAATCATCCCGATTTGGCTGTTAGCCATTTGAATTTTGCAGCATGTTACGAAAGAATGGGTGATTACAGAACAGCTCTTAAAGCCCTTAAAAATGCTTATCAAATTCAGCAAAAAGCTTTTGAAGAAGGTAATCCAGCTTTTGCTTCAACATACAGCTGCTTTGGAAGAGTTTATCGCAGTATGAAAGATTATCCAAAAGCACTTGAGAATTTCGAAAAATGTTTCTCAATACGTCAAAAAGCTTTACCTGAAAATCATCCGTATCTAGCTATTATATATAGTGATATTGGTGATGTTCATCGTTTAATGGGTGATTATGAAAAGGGAATTTCATTTCATGGGAAAGCATTGAATATTCAAGAAAACGTTCAATGTAATCCTCTCGAATGTGCAACGACATATATAAATTTAGGTGAAACTTACCGTGAAATGAAAGATTATACAACAGCATTAACATATTATCAAAAAGGATTTGAAATACGTGAAAAGAAACTACCAAAAAGTCATTCTGAATTAGCTGTAATATATCAGAATTTGGCGAAATTATATTTATCTACTGGACAACATAAGATGGCAATGAAAAATGTTCAACAATCCATACAAATTGCTCAAGAAAAATTACCTTCAAATCATCCACATATTTTAGAATGTATAGAAACTTTTGAAGAAATTCGAAAGAAAATGTAATTTGTTTTTTTTCGATTTGCTGAATAAATTTATTTGAATTACAATTCATTTCACTTTTCCGACTTTTCTCGGCTCATTCCCGCGTACACGCGCGCGACCAGGGGGACTTCCTCTAAGCCCGATATGGGTACATGCAGAGCGGACCCTGCCAGACTGGTTGGGAATGATCGTAGGTATATCGCACAATAACGATGACAGGGACCTGCGAACAGAGGGCCTTCCCGAGTACTACAGTGCTTTCGCCATAACAGGCACAAGAAATCTTCCTGGGTTAGGTTACAAAACCACCTAACAGGCTGTGATATAAAATAGTATCTATCCCTCTCTGAATAATAACATAAGTATGACAGAAAAAAAAACGTTATTCCATCCGAAATAGATTATATCTAAGTTATCGATAAAATAACTTGAAAAGTTCTAGCGGCCAATAGAACTTTTCAACGTATTTATAAACTTTTTATCGCAATAAGAAAACAAACTGAACTCAGTACTTTTGATTACTGCTCTTTTTAAGAAAAAAAAAGAAACAACATACCCTATTTGCGATTGAAATATATATATATCATCACATAAATTTATTAGTAACATTGTAAATAATGTTGTGATAATAAGTAAATGTATAAATGTCATAATTATGTAAATAATTGTATCGTGCACCTCCTTAAAAAAAAATTTATTATAATACTTATTCAACGTACTGTTGATACAATAGATCGATTGAATTGAATGATTTTATTCAAGAAAATCATTCGTTATATATATGTTGCAAACATGAACTGTCACTCAATGATGGTGATTAATAGATAATTGATTCTGATCATTAGTTCAATAATCAACAAGATAATTATTTTCATCAACGATCAATTTATCGCCACTCGACGATGTCTTTCATTTCTTTCATAATTTTCTGTAAAAAGTTGTGGATGTATGTGTGCATGAATATGTACTTATTCTCTTTGCATCGCACTCACAGCCGTAATCCAGTGGCTTAAAAAAAACAGAAACAATTCATTTCAATGGTATTCTTCAAATTTACATGCAGGAAATTTCATACTTTTAGTTATTTCAGATAACATTTAAAAAAAACTCTATTATTTACACTACTTTGACATCATTTTCATTGCATAATGGAAATTATTTTCGAAAACTAAGATTTCATTACTTTCATTAGTTTTGTACGAATTACTTTTATTTTTGAAATATGAAATTTTAATCATTTTACAAACGATAAATAATATGTATAAATTTTTCAAAGCAACATCGTTTTAATCGATGTCTTTTGTGCAAAATTCATCGTTTGTCTCGATTGCTCTGAAAATTTTAACAATGAAACGAATAAATTTGAGTCGTTTTTACAAGTTATAATTCTTACACATAGAACTGTTGAAAAAAACGGAAGTTGTAAGGATAGAAAATTTGTCGTGCCCTGTTTTTTCTAAGTTTATTAGATATCTTTACATTATCCATCTGACTAGGTAGTTATATCAAAGAAAATGAATTCAAGGTCTTTCTTTTTTCATCCTTCTTATCATTTTAGTTTCATACATTTTGAATGATTAATTTGTAATTTACGATTAATTTTACGATATCGTTTTTCTCAAGAAAAACAATTTTATTAAAACGATGTAAATAACGTCATTTTTGTCATTTTATAAGTCATACCCACACCTTGAAGATTAACAATTATGTGAACATGCTCTACCCAAAAACTTAGTTTAATTTGTAAAAAACAATCTAGATATTGTACATCTGGTAATACAGGATTTACTGCCGTAAACAATCTCTATTGGGCGCGCTTTGTTTATATGCAAATTTTAAGAAGACTATAATTAAATTAGAGCTATCTCATTGAAATTATATTCATTCATCAATTTTAAAAATAATCACCTCAAATATTTATTTGTACAACTGTTTTTCTTTTCTTTTTGTTCCCTCCTCCCCACTCCATGCTCTGTTTAATTGAGTAAACTAATCACAAACCACAATTATGTCAAATACTTATTGAAATTTTTTTTCAGTTTTAATCTGAAAATTTTATGGTGAAAACATTTGATATCATTAACTTTATACAATATTATACTCTTTTTAAGGAATCGATTTTTATATTCGAGTACTGTATTATTTCTTAGCATTCACCAATCAGAAAACGAATGTAATAAATCTGGTCTTATAGTCTCATATCGGCGGGTTTGTGTTTTGTTTTTGGTTGAATAAAATGTAATAGTATAAGATATAAATAGAAAAGAAACTGTATTGATTTTGTTTTTTGCTATTTTTTATCTTTAATACAGAAATTTATTAACAATGTTTTCATTAGATATAGAATAATATTTTTTTATTTTAAAAATGACATCAACTAATAACGTCACATATAGAAACAAAAAAAAAATCTCCAATCCTGAATTTATGTATTGTAAGAAAAATGAGAAAGTTATCCTCGATAGTGTTATGTTCACATAGCACATTCTTTTCAGGGAATTTTTACTGAATGGAATAAAACAAAACTCTAAGCAACGTTTCAATTATGTATCACGTATTGATGCATTCCTGATATCACATTTAATTATATAACAATATTCGACAATGATACTCATGCATCCAAGAAAAAAATTGCGACATAAAAAATATATATACATACAATTGATTTTGAGAATGTTACAAATAAAAAATAAAATACAACGATTGTATGACTTAGAATATTTCGAAGAAAAAAAAATATTATCAATATAATCGATCCAATTTTATTTAATGTTTCTAATCTATCTTTTATCAAACATGGTATAAAGACTTAGGGGCATTTAAATTATTAGGATTGTCACTATCGGATGGAAAATAGACAAAAAATATTTTATAGGTATGGATTCTCCAAAAATTAAATGTTTAATGATTTTCCATCTATAATCTAATGATCTAATTTTAATATTTATTTTAGAGTTAGCATGGTTAATACTTGTAGAATCATTATTTGAATGATTCTAATGACTCAAACTCACTAATGTTCAATAATTCTCCTCTATCCTAAAAAACAAATATTTCATCAATTTTGAATTTGTATTGTTTTGGACATTATTTTAGTCAAAATGAATCTATAAACTATTTTTGTTTTCTTTCAAACTGTTTAAATTAACGTCGTCAATTATATTTAAATGTCATAAATAGAATTATTCCAGAATTTCGTTTTGAAAAATACGATTTTTGTAAAAATGGTTTAAAGTAATAATAAAATACTAGAATCATTATTTTATTCAAGCTCTTTTAATTCAAATCGAATTAATTATTTCATATGAAATTCATTTCATATTCTCTAAACAACGAATTACTTGATACTTTCTTAAGTGGAAATGAAAAAAACATGCTCAGTCAATAAAAAAAAACAATTTTTTGTTGAGCTTAATAATTCTAGTTTTTTTTTTCATACTGTATAGTCTTTATTCTTTTATTCATTCGAATTTATTTTTCTCATGAAATAGAATATCCTTTAAAAACTTGGTTTCTAACAAAGTATTTATGTAAAAAAATATTAAAATTTAAGTGTCTCATAATATTTTTATTTGAAATTGATATTGATTAACTAATCAATTATTTATTCACAATAAATACATTATGGACTCTGTTCAAAATTTGATCAAACGTCTTTTTCCGTATGAAATTATAACTTATCCTATAGCTGACTTAAATAATCAATTATTGAAGGAAAAGAATAATTCACTAACAAATAATAAATTCGTATGTCTTTTTTTTTTACAATCTCGGTACATGTCCAGTTTAATCACAGCTTCCACTGATTGGTGTGATTTTACACACACGCAGTGTTGCGTGAGAGCAGTGTTCCCAATGGAAAACGAAAACAAAATGTACGTGTACACTTTGCTAATATAGTCAAAGTGTAAGTTTACAGTTTGTTTTTGGTGCCAAAATGTACAAAGTGTACTAAAAACTAATGTTTTTTTTCAAAATAAGAAACAAATGACAACGTTTTTAATGATGAGCATAAATTAATAGTTGGTAAACAAACGAATGAAAAACAAGCGCACTTTCCCAGAATCTGACCGTCCATTTACGAAGAAAAAATTAAGAAAAAAGCTATGAGTTTATACCACAAATATAACAATTTTAATTTAGGATTTTGTTTCAAATACAATATCACCAAAATATCTGTTGTCTTGATTTTCACCTTCATCATCACACGGATAATTACAATCAGATCGAAACCATAAAGATTCTATCATTTTAACATTTTTACGTATGAACGATAAATCTGATATATGTTTGAAAAAAATTATTATTAACATTGATAACAATATAACAAACAGAGAGTCGTTTTAGAATTAGAACTAATTATTTATCTACAGAAAGAGTGAGAAGACAAAATAAAAGCAATCATACTAGTCATTGGTAGAGTTTTACTCAAGATTGCGAGGTCATAATCGACTATTTTGTAAAGAAAGTCTCTCTTTGATGTTAATATTACATACCACTTTTAACGTTATAGAATCAATGTGTAGATATTTTTTAGCAGTATACAGCGTACATTTTGCATTTTTGAGCAAAGTGTAAATCAGAGTGTAAATCAAAAATAGCAGATGTTTTGTGCATTTTGCTTATGCTGTGTACACCTCAAGAGGGAAAAAGCAGACTTCTGTACTTCTCTGTACTTCTTCGTACTTCTCCGTACTTCTTCATACTTCTCTGTACTCCTTTGGACTCCATTGTACTTCTTTGTACACCCACGAAAAAAAAATTTGATGAAAAAACGCGGTCGACCGCGGTTTTCTGTAACCGCGTCCCACCGCGTTTACTTAAAACCGCGGTTTTCGACGGTTTTGACGAGACGAATAAATGGTCTGACTCCCGCGGTTCTCTAACACCGCTAGAAACCGCGGTTGTCTTTACCGCGGTCGACCGCGTTTTTTCATCGAATTTTTTTCATTGGTCTGTTTATTTATCCATCCACTTATCCATCGATCTATCTATCTAGCCACCTATCTAACTGACTATCT